GAGCAGTGGGATCTTGTGGGAAGGGGGTGGGTTCTGGAGGCGCAGGCACAGGGCGGCAGGGTCCATGGCGGCTGCCAAAGGGGCGGCTGTTGTGTGCTTGCAGGTCAGGCCGCATGATCACATGCACCTCAAGCCCTGGAGCTTGTCAGGGGGTTTCAAAGTACTTGGCCTGCGCACGGTCACAGAGACTTGGTTGGTTGACTGCCTTCACACCACGACCACTTGCGACTCACGCTGGGCCCCCAAACCCCATTTCGCCCTCCCATCCTTTGCGGTCCTCAACCCCAGTGATGCTCAACGCGGACAAGGAGTTTCTGGCCCAGAAGGTCGCGCCACACAGGTCAGGACACACACTATCTCCCTTGTCGACTCTCCCTTGTCGACATGAATCGGGCCATGGGCGCCCAGGCACTCGAAATATGGGTGGCTGCACTTCGGGCAGGGGTGTTTGGGGCATTGCACAAGCCTTGGGTCCACCGCGTCCCCCTTTCTTTGGATGGCGATGCGCAACAGACAGCCCCGCTCTTGCGCGAACGCCATTTCACCAGTTTTGTCACAAACGCTTCCCCCCCCCCCCCGCTGCGGGCATCCTTCCCGCAGTCAGCGGGGCGAGCTGACAAGCCCGCACACCAAAATTTCCTTTGATTTGTCCACGAGCCACAAGATCTTCTGCTTAAAACCCTCAAAACAATGCCTGCATGTCGTTCAAACCCCTGAGGGGTTGTCGACAAACAAACGACCTCCACTTACCCCCTGAAAAAACACCCCTCCTGCCAGGGACTTTTACAACGTGCGCAAGGTGGACACGCACATCCACCACAGCGCTTGCATGCACCAGAAGCACCTGCTGCGGTTCATCAAGAGCAAGCTCAGGAAGGAGCCGGACGAGGTGGTCATTTTCAGGTGATCCGGGGTGATCTGGAGTAGCTGGAGCGACGAGGTTTTAGAGGGTGGGGCGGCAGAGTGCTCGCGCATCCTTGAGGATGCATGTGTGGATGTGTGTTGTGGTGTGCAACTCTGTGTCAGTTGATTTGACGGAAGGGGACGCCGGGCAGGGCTCACAGCCATATCATGCCAGTTGTTTGTGTGGAGTCGCGACCGGCCGGCCCCTAAACGCACGCACGCCGTGGTGCACAGATGACCACGCCAATCTCACCCCCCCCTGGCCCCTTGCGAGGCTTGAAAGGGACCGCGACCACTTGACGCTGCGCGACGTGTCGATTTGCCCAAATCCCACTCCTGCCTCCACCCAAACCCCATCCCCATCCCCGCCTCGCCTTCACACCAACCCCAACCCTGCACCCCGCCAAACCCCGACCCCATCTCCTCCCAAGGGACGGCAAGTACCTGACGCTGCGGGAGGTGTTTGAGAGCCTCAACCTCACCGGCTACGACCTTAACGTGGACACACTGGACATGCACGCCGACAAGAACACCTTCCACAGGTGATCTTGCTTGAGGGGAGGGAGGGCGTGTCTTGTTGTGGGAGGGCGGAGCGCAGGCCGCGTCGCAGGGACGCGGGGTGGAGGTTGGCGAGCGTTTGTTTCGATATGGGTTTGTCGTCGCCTGCCGTGCGCGCGGGGGGGATGCGGCGGCGCAGGGTGGCGCCATGTTTCAAGGGGCCCAAGGCTTCAACCTGACAGATACTGCTTCAGAGCAGGGATCAAGGTCGGAGATGGAGCGGTCATCAAGCGTCGGTGCCAGCGGGAGCTGCCTCGCAGGCCGGCCTGACGCGGGCCGTCAGCCGCCCTGCCATCACCTTGACCCCGGCTTCACGGCCGCCGCTTGTGTGTGCATCACCCCCTCCCCGCCAATCCCCACCCCTTACCCTGTTGTAGGTTTGACAAGTTCAACCTGAAGTACAACCCCTGCGGCCAGAGCAGGCTGAGGGAGATCTTCATCAAGCAGGTCTGAGGGAGGGCGAGTGCAGCCGGGCAGCTTGGCCGTCGGTCGACCCCCCTTGTCGCCCCACACATCCAGTACCCTGCTTGGCCCCTGCCCCCGCCCTCAGCTGCCAAGTCACCTCGAAAACAGAGTGCTCCCTCTGCCGCTTCCCGTGACGGACCGCCACCCTCATGAACTCAAGGGGCAATTGACACCACCCCTGCCCCGCCTCCCACCAAAAGAGGGAACAGGCGGGGCTGCCCCCCACCAGGGCAGTCCCATTTGCACCCGACCCCTCCCCCTGCCATCACGGCGGCTACGCACCGCCTCACCCACGCCCGCCCCGTGACC